TTTGTAAAAGTGAGATTCAGTAAAAGTCCCAGGTCAAGGGCATGAGATCAAATTTGGTGGTACCCGAAAAAAAGTCTAATCACAAGGATATCACCTATGAAATATGAAAGCCATAGCAGCCCCATCCACTCAAAAGATATGGGCAAGGAGAATTTTTTTGCAGACCAACACACACACAGACGGACGGACAGGACACAAACTATATAGCCCCGTATCTTCGATAGTAACCAAAGAACTTACAAGATGATGAATGTAAACAAGACTGCTGATATTCATGTTTCATCAACTTGTTTGTCAATAATTTACCTCGTTTTTCACATACGTAGAGCATGATCTTGTGTATCGAATCAACTGAGAGAGGTTAACTCCATATGCAGGTGATGAAGGTATATTGCTGCATAAGTAAGGGAAGTTGGCGATTGAAAAGGTAAAAACATCAGAGTTCTGATGTAGTTCATGCTACCAATTCCACTCTAAAGACTTGCGTGTACTTGTTCAGGAATGCAACAAACATTCTTAAATATTTTGCTGATCATGTATGACTAAATGTAAAAGAAGAAAAAACGAACAATGACCGATTTCAAAAATCCATAAACAATACAAATGGGTCAAGAGGGCATAAAAGACACACGCCTAGAAATTCCAGAGATGGGATCAGGTGCCTAGACAAGGAAACATCCCCCGTCGATCAGACAAACCCGACGTGAGACCTATGCGTTGATCAGACAGACGGAAATGTCAATACAAAAACAGAAGCCTAACAACTGGCATAAAAAAAAGTCAATATACGAGCCAGTGATTCAATTGTATGTTTTATCCTGTAAACATTGTCAATGATATAATTATGTTCAATCAATCATTACTTCGGTTTTTAAATAAAGCTTTCCTCTGACTTACTGAGTATATTTGTAGATAGAAATTGTAAAGCATCCGTCTTTTGCTTGATAAAATAAAATGTTTTCATTCAAAGTCATGTTTCCTGCAGAACAGATTGTCATACATGTTAATTAATTTATTCAGTCGTTCTCTATTATTGACAATTATGTAAGCAAAATATTGTTGTTTGTATGAAGGCTGTGGCTTTGTTTTATTTAAATTTTAAATTATTTTTACTCTGTAAACATTTAAATATTCTTTAAAGAACGTAATATTTTATGTGCTTAAAAATTTTAAAGAAGCATTTATGAGAATGAGATATCAAAATGCACAGTGATTGATCTCAAAAATTCTATATACAATAGAAATCTTTAAAGAAGGCATAAACAGAGACCCCTGTGAATTCCAGAGGGGGTATTTAGGCGGAGTAAGCATCCCTTTTAGGCCATATTTAAGTAAATAATGGTGCTCATTGCTCACTTGCCATATTCTTAACAAATAATGTAGGAAGTGTTCAATGGCATATAAAGTGCGCGTGTCTATTACTTAATTTTTTTTTCTCTTCCTTCTGAATTTTTGTTTTGGGTTAAATTGAATATTTTTATAATCGAACATGAACAACCACAAAAAAAATTGTGTTCAGTGAATTTGATACAACCACAGTGTTATTGTACATTGACCATTGCTTCCAAATTTTTCAATTACAAAAAACTTCACATGGCCTAGATATCAAGTATCTGAAACATCGTGTTCATGTTCTTCTTCGCCCTATAACTATAATCCTGCTGGGCAGGTTATTACAGGTGACATATAGTTTATAATGAAGACCTTAGATCACTTATTTTAAAAGGTACTTAATATACGGAACCCTGATCCTTTAACAGGCGTCGGAATTTCAAAACTATTATGGATTCTGTTGAGGATTACGCCAGACGATGGGCCAGTTTTGAAAAGGAAGAGTTGACACTTTGTCAAAATGGATAATATGTATCAGGTCCATGTTAAAATCGCGTATTAAGGGGCAATATGAAAAACATCTATCCTTCTATATTCAATAATGCAGAAGTGAAAAAAGAATAAGATGGATTATATGATCAGTACCTACTGGTCCCTGCTGACAAAGCAGGTAACAAAATTGTCTTCGTTTGTAAGGCTTATTATATAAATTATATACTGGAGTATTAAAATAACTTGGATTTAATTCTACAAGTGGTAATCCGACTTATACTCATACATGTAGTTCCCTTTCTAAGGAAGAAATTCTTCAAAATCATATGTCAGTTTTGAATATTTTTATGTCCCGAAGAATCAAAATAATTTGAACTACCATACATATATTGGACTCCGAACCTTCATAAGAATCCTTACAAACAAATTAAAGATACATCGCGGGTTCCAGTAAATGTTCAACCAAGCGTCTTTCTTTACTCCTCACTAAGATATTGACAGTAGTGAAGGAAAAACTTCAAGAGTACTGTGCAACAATATATTCAAGAAGTGGTGTGAATCAGATGTGGATACTCAAAAATTCGAAAGAACTTTTGGACAATTTGAAATCACAAGATTTTACCAAAATCAACAGCTTAAAAACGTACGACTTTTCAACTTTATACACAACCATTCCCCACGATAAATTTAAGTCCAGGCTTTTTGATATCATTGACAGCTGCTTTTTCAATAAAAATGGAACTCGTAAATTTACTTACCTGATCATTGGTCATTTGCAAAACTATTTTGTTAAAACATATTCTGATTGCACACACAAGTACTCTGAAGTTGACATAAAAAGATGCTTTGGTTTCTGATTGACAATATCTATGCGGTTATTGGTGACCATGTCTTCCAACAATCTATTGGAATTCCCATGGGTACCAATTACGCTCCATTATTAGCAGACCTATTTTTGTATTCATATGAAGCAGAATTTATGCAAAATCTTATACGTGAAAAGAAGAAAATACTTGCTGTGGCCTTCAACTCGACATTTAGATATATCGACGACGTATTGTCAATTAACAATGATAATTTCCATTCCTATGTAGATACGATATATCCTGGGAAGCTTGAGATAAACGATACCACAGAGTCTGACACATCTGCTTGATACTTGGATATTTTACTTGAAAAGGACATTAATGGCAATCTAACAACCAAGCTCTATGATAAACGTAATGACTTAAACTTTTCTATCGTCAACTTCCCTTTCTTATGCAGCAATATACCTTCATCACCTGAATACGGTGTTTATATATCTCAGTTGATTCGATACGCAAGAACATGCTCTACGTATAAACAGTTTCTAAAACGAGGTAAATTATTGACAGACATTAAGTTGATGAAACAAGAATATCAGAAATCTCGTTTGAGGTCATCATTTCGTAAGTTCTTTGGTCGATACAATGACCTTGTCAGCAAATACAATTCATCATTGAGTCAAATGCTGACTCATGTTTTTCATTCGAACTGTTAGTCCACTATTTATACAGTGAATTGACGACAGATTTTCCCGTTATTTCCCGATCATAACAATTAGCACTCGGTGGATGTGACCGGTCGGCAGGGGATGTTCACTCCTCCATGGCACCTGATCCCACCTCTGATGTTTTAGAGGTCCGTGATTGCTCTGTTCCTATTTTGTATTGTCTTATGGACTTTGATATTGAACATTGTTCGTTATCTCCATATCCTTCATTATGTAAGTACACACAGTCGATCGTGGTTATTTGATTATCATTATTCTATCTGCGAAAATCTTTTTTTTTTGGCCTGCCATAATGTCTTTAACAAGTACAAATGTACTTCGTATAAATTATAATTTGTCATTGTTGACCGTTACAGTGAATTACCGTAAGCATCAGTGGGCTTTCACCAGGTATAAAAGTGCTTATCAAAAAGGCAGACCATGAAGTCCCAACTTTTTTGTTCTGCTTGGTTAATTTTAAAACTCGGTCTTACTTAATATATATATATATATATATATATATATATATAATATTTACCTTAAATAATATTTCGTTGAAATTTTTATGCACATGGTGCAGAAGCTTAGAAAAGAAATCATGCATTTTAAATGGAACATTGACAAGTCAGTACAGTATGCTATCCTACCAAAAAGTACTAAGTATGCAGATGACTTTATTTCATTTTAAATACACAAGTGTTTTACCATTAAAAGTGCGTTTGACATGCTATGTAACACGTTTTGCGTGAAACTAGACCATATATTAATAGCAACGCCAAGTTCATTCGGATTTTAGTCTTTATAATGACGAAGCCTCCAGGCGATATTCTGATTAGTTAGAATCAATAGGAAGACAGACAACAAAATGTTAAAAGTACAATTAAAATAATCGAAGAATATACTAGTAGTATGAAAGTCAAAAGACTTACTCGATCACATGAGGAACGAGTCGAGAATTTAACTTTAAAGTCTTTACTGTTGAGGAAAATTTCACAGACACCTAACGTCAATAAAAATATATATATACCCCCTACCTATTATTATTAGGTAGGGGGTATAGGGGTATATATTTCATAAAAAGAAAAGTAATGTCAGGTGCCTGTTTAATATTAGGTAGGGGTATATTTTTTTTATAAAAGAAAAATAAGTAACGTAAGGTGCTGTTGAAAACTTCTATACACGTGGACCGGAGATTGTTGTAATGTTAATAGATCAGATACCTACATGACTCGGGGGTGACTTGCACAGTCTAGACATTGTCATGGTCCCAGGGTATCTAAAGTTCAGTCAGGACTATCATGTCAAATTGAATTATTATAGAAATGAAATACGCAATATAAAGATTTCTAGATTTTTTCATGAATTATCCATTTTTAATGAATAGATGTTTCTAATTCTAGAATATTCTTTTCTTTCTCTATATAAGGTAAAGGTGTATGGCCTCCACTGTATATTAATTTATTGTTACAGATGAGCTGTTAAGTTGTTTGCGTTTAATCTTCCTGTGTGGTGTTGGACCATTGTGAATACATGGTTAGTAAATACATTAATGATAAAAATAATTCCATATAGTGAACTTATCTACAATTATTCAAAAGCAATTCTGGATCTTGCACGAAGAAAAATTAAAACATCTTTTTAAAAAGGATTGTGTACCAGATTCATGTTTCTAAAAAAAATGGGGAAAAAGAGAGAAAAATTGAAAGTGTCTCACAAAGATGGGTCCATGGAATATATTATAACATACCTTTTGGTGAGAATCAGTCTGGCAGTACAAAATCTCCTTACCTTTGGGGATGCTGCATACCTACAGGTGATATTCAATCTAGCAGTACAACGCCTCCTAGCCTCTCGGGAGGGTGCCTGCTGCATTTCAAGAAAAACTAGAAGGAATTGTGTATGTTACATGAAGGCTCGGGGACCGCATCCTTTGATTTCATCTCATCCTCTGTGTTTATCTGAGGTGGGCCTCCTCCCCTATTTCTGGCTGTGTAACATCGATCTGAAGATATGGTCAGTATTGTTATTAATCAAATCCCAAACTTTGTATCAAACAATTATTTACATTGTACTTTGTTGCAACCCTAAATTACTCTGAATGAAATCTTACATTGAGAACTATAATTGGGTCGTATTATGGCTTACTTGTTATAAGGCCTTTGTTTTATAGTGAATTTGACTAAATAATGTCTACCTGATCAATAAATATGGCTCAGGGTGGTTGTGACCGATTAACAGGGGATGCTCACTCCTCCTAGGCACCTGGTCCCACCTCTTTATTGCATGTTGATGTCCTCTTCACAGATTAGTTTTGTAAAAAGATTTTTCCAGATCGATCACTGTTAGTTATCTGTCACAAAACATGTTTACATATACATGTCAAACCTATTACATGTATTGTTCTCTAGCAAAGATGTGCCTGCTGTATTAGTTCTGAGAAAGACGATGTACAAGGTTAAAATTGAAGTGTCAGTCTGTAGCCAGACAATATAGGAAGCTAGAAAATTTCACTTGAACCAATAGTTAATTTGAACTATTTAGGATTTATTTGTATCATTTGTATTGTATATTCTTTATAAAGTCCCAACAAAATGCAATATCTACTAGTATTGGAATAGGTTATGAATGAGAAACAGAATGTGCATCTAGGTCACTAGCTATTGTCCGGAAGCAAAGAGTTGTAGCTGAACAAATCTGGTCTTTTTTATGTTTGAATACAGCCAAAACTATCAAAAATACGGAGAAATGACTTTTGCAACTCTAGTAAAAAAAAAGAAAGTAAACTGTGTCCCTGTCGACTCATACCGGTATTCGAAAAATGTCTATAGCTTGGAATTTTTTCATGCACACTATAAGGTCTCTAACAATCTCTTTCACTTTTAAAAAAAAGTTAATTACTTTAAGGTAGGATCTTCTCTGGTTTCTAACTAGATGAAATATTCAAAGAATATTTGCTGGCATGTCTTATATATTTAGGTGTAATTAGGTGTAAATTGAAATTTAAACGACCATATTTTTCTTTCCTCAACAAATTGTACAATTTTAAATAGAAATGGTAAACTGCTATTGAAAACCAGCAGGGGCTATATTTTTTTGGCGGAATGGTGGCGTATGAAAATATATTCTTCTCTGATTTTAAAAATTATTATAGAACAATGAAATTAGTTATAATTCTTACAAAAAAAAACCATAAGAAGAAATTTTCATATTAAAAATAAGGGACTAAAGTTTCAAAATATATCATATAAATATGATTTTTCAAACAAACTAGAACAGGGTTAGCTTTTAAAACCTTCCAATTTAAGTAAAGACTTGAGCCAAAAATCCATAAAAAATATTGTTCTCTCTTAGTTAACGATTAAAACCTTTTGTTCTTGTATCATTTTGTATCTTTATGTGACAACTTTACTCTACGCAAGAATAAGAAAAAATTAAATATAGGAAGCATATAAAAATAAATAATATATTCTAAAAATTTAAGAAAAGTAGAAAAAAATTCGGATTAGCCAATATCCATTTAGGCCCTATGTGGTAGTTTCTTTTTATTCAAAAAGAAAAATATTCAATCTTTTGAAATACAAGTAAACCTTCTTGATTCTGTGAAAATTTCATTAATTTTAAATGCAAGAAATATGAGAAGAATCCTACCTTAATTTAGTTATATTGTACGACTTACTTTTAATGTACTAATGAACAACCATCATTACCATTTAGTACCATTGTTATAACCATTTGCTTATGAAAAGGATATTGTGTTTTTATTACAACTGTGCATTAATGACAGGTCTTTTGTTTCATTATGTTATATTTTTTATTATAGACTTTGATTATACAAAAGTGTGTATTATAATGATGACTGGAGAATCCAGTATTTTTTGCTATCGAATTAATATAAAACTGTGCGTTTAGAAATCTCTATAATTTTTACTTTTCATCAAAATCTAAAATATTGATTCCGTTGAGCAGTTGTTGAAGATTGTATTAACTATTCTGCTAAGAAAATGGTTTTAAAAAATATTACATCCGAGCATTTATTGAATACTAGTACACCGTTTAATTTTAATTAATGAAAAATTCAAAAATAAACACAAAGTTACCAAACTTACCAAATTGCAGCGATATTAATGAGTCAATTTTTGTCGGGTAACTTCCTTTGTCATGTACTAGCTATGCACTGGTTTACAAGACAGTTTACAGAAATAAGTTACAAATGTATAACAAATGTATAACAACCTGCATTCCAAACTGTAATAGATGTCACTTTATAGTTCTTGTTTTTAGATCTACATGTATGAGAAGTTAATCGCAACATCTAAATAATGCATAAACTGTGAGAAAAAGTAAAATTACCCGGTGTTTTTTCTAAGTTGAGAATGCATAAAATATTACAAGTATCCGTATTTTCTCCAAATGATCTTTTTTATCATGTTTATAATCCTACCCCATCTCACAACTGTTTCAAAATAAAAGTTTTGGGTGGTGCATTTCTGTAACCTGATAAATCACGAACTCCAAAGATTTATTGCAGTTGTAATCTATAAGTTTTCTGTAATATGGAAATCTGTGCAGTTTGGTTCCTGGATTTGCCACTATGATTTATATTATATTAGACAAAGTTCAGTCAATTCAAATAGTAAATTAGGGGTGTGTCCATTAATGTCTTGTAACGTTCATACCTTTGTTTCCTGACATCTATGGACCTCATCCCAGATTATGATAGATTTTCCAAAATAAATTTTAACTTTATAAGTACATGTTAATACACCCATCCCAGTTTATAATAAAATATTTCCAGGATAATTACTCGTATTGTATGTATGGTTTGTGGCACCCTGTATCTGAAAGGTAAGGGTAACGAACAGTGATCCATCACAAAACTTGTATATACACATTACAAATGCATATAATCATAAATGTGAAGAGGGCATAAAACAAGACCACTAGAAATATCAGGAGTGAGATCACGTGTATTGGTGAGTAAGCATCCCTTGTTGATCGGTTATAACTTTGAATTGATTGGGAAATAACGGAAAAATCCGTCGTCAATTCAGTGTAAAAATGATGGACTAACAATTAGTATGAAAAATGTAAGTCAGCATTTGACTCAATGATAAGTTGTATTTGCTGACAAGGTCATTGTATCGCCCATTGAACTTAAGAAATGGTTATTTTAAACGAGACTGTTGATATTCTTGTTTCATCAACTTTTTTGTCAATAATTTACCTCGTATTAGAAATTGTACATACGTAGAGCATGATGATGTATCGAATCAACTGAGATATATACCCGGTAAATTCCGTCTACGTGTGACGAAGGTATATTGATGTATGCATAAGTAAGGGAAGTTGGCAATTGTCTTGTTAGACTACCATTAATGTCTTTTTCAAGTAAAATATCCAAATATAAAATAGATGTTTCAGACTCTTTGGTATCTTTTATCTCAGGCTCACCACGATATATCATATCGACATCAAAGTGGAAAATACCATTATTTATTGAAAATACGTCGTCGATATATCTACATGTCGAGTTGAAGGCCACGGCATGTGTTTTCTTCTTTTCATGTATTAGAGTTTGGACAAATTCTGCTTAATTAAAATACAAAAATAGGTCTGCTAATAACGGGGTGCAATTCGTACCCACTGGAATTCCAATAGATCGTTGGAAGATAGTATCAATTAGAAACTCAAGCATCTTTTTGATGTCAACTTCAGAGTACTTGTGTGTACAATCAGAATGTTTTTAACAAAATAATTTTGCAAAAGACCAATGACAAGGGAAGTAAATCTACGAGTTTCATTTTTATTGAAAGAGCAGCTGTCAATGACGTAAAAAAAAAAAGCACGGACTTAAATTTATCGTGGGGAATGGTTGTGTATAAAGTTGAAAAGTCGTAAGTTTTTTAAGCTGTTGATTTTGGTATTTTTTTGTGATTTCAAATTGTCCAAAAGTTCCTTTTAAGTATCCACATTTGCTTTACATCACTTCTTGAATATACTGTTGCACAGTACTCTTGAAGTTTCTCCTTCACTACTGTTAACATCTTAGTGAGGAGTAAAGAAAGAGGCTTGGTTGAAAATTTACTGGAACACGCTACTGAGTATGTATCTTTGTTTGTAAGGAGTTTTATGAATTTTCGGTATCCAATATAGATATGGTAGTTCAAATTCATTATTAAAAATATTTAAAACTGACATTTGATTTTGAAGAATTTCTTCCTTAGAAAGGAAACTATGAGTATAAGCTGGATTACCACTTGTAGAATTAAATCCAAGTTCTTCTAAAACACAATTTATTTAATGAGCCTTACAAACTAAGACAATGTTGTGTCCTGCTTTGTCAGCTCAGGGACCAGTATGTACTGATCATATAATCTAATTCTTTTTTCACTTCTGGATTATTGAATGCAGAAGGATATATATGGTTTTCATTTTGCTCCTCAATCTTTAATACACGATTGTAACATAGTTCTGATACCGGTACATTTACTCCATTCTTACAAATGTCTTCTTTTTCATATTTGGCCCATCGCATGGTGTAATCTTCTACAGAATCCATACTTAATCTGGGGTATCTATAAACTTTGTTATAATCTTAAATGCATTTATAACCATTATTTCCCTTTTTAAAAAACCTTTATGGAATGATTTCAATATCCATAGCCGTAATAGACAATAACACTTTTACTGAGGGTTAAATTTAACAGGCCAATGTTTAGTTCAAACATAAGAGATCTTAAAATCAGATGTCCAGTTCTAGAAAAGCTAAACGTGCTGCGCTTTCCTTTAACACAAATATTGATTTATCATCTATAAATGATTTTTAAAATATTATACAATTACTGGCATCTCTGAGATCAATGAGATGATTTAGCCACCTGACTACAATGAGAAAATATCCACCGAGCCCCAATATATTAATCATGCTTAAACAGCTACAGTTGTATCATTTTGTACACGTTGTATCTCATCATTTTTTTTTTCATAAATAGCAAAACATGGCAGAGTTTTCA